TGGGTGGAAGAAAATCCAAGGTGGTCAAGCTAAGACCTGACATGAGGGTATGAAAACCCAAACCAGGAGTCTAGGTCACACAGGTCCCGTTAGGCTGCCTGGCTGGGGAACTCGGGATAATCGTAACCGATGATTATAGACACCGAGTGATATAGTTGAGTGTCATAAACAGTGGCATTCTTGCACTTTTTCAATTTCTTTGCAACATTAGTCCACGTCCTCTTTGATTCTTCCTTGAACCTTGCTGTCTTTCTCCTCCCGTTCATCCAAAAGACAGCAACCAATACCGGTGCACGATTGTGCATGGTTAATGGTTGTACCAACTGAACTGTGCTAACAAATTTTTGTGCACGGCATTCACGGAGTTCCACGTTTTCCCCGGAGATTGTTCATCATAGTAATCTAATACCGCATTCGTGAAACATCTGGATGGTGTAAAATATTCACACAGGCTTATGCAACTGTATCGCTGGATGTCAAACACCAACTAATACGTCCCGCTTCGCCCCACCTCTCGGACTTGTCTTTATCAGGAGTTTAAGTTACGTTTCCCTTTTGATGTGTGTTGGGATAGAACTCGATGATTATGTTCACTTTAAAGTGGATAAAGAAGGATTGTTACGGTTTGGGATGGTTTAGATCGGTACAGGACACTATAACGATCGCTTTTCGATACTGCATCTGTCAAAGGTTTTGTGGATTTTTCATAAAAAGTAGCTTTTATTTATTAAAGCTTATTCTTCAGGGAAAGTCCACGTGATACTCATCTGGAAAAACATGGAAACACTATGCAATTATTTTAGGCTTGTAAGGGATCATCAGCTTGGATTGTTCACCGGATTTCGAATCCCAGTTTTGTTATGGGCTTTCGAGTAGAAAACCCAACTACTTGGTTCATTCGAGTTCAGTCCCCCTAAGCATCACACATCAGAGCTATCGGATGTGAAGTCTGTGTAGTTCCATAAAAGAAACATTTCCAGTGACACTTTGTTAAGGCGGTCTGCGATGCAGTAGATGTTGGTTCATGATTGTCAGTGGCTCCCCAGAGCCACATTCGTCAGTCCATAGATGTGGACCAAATCCAGGGATTCATACATCGCTATTAGACAAACTTCGTTGAGTAAACCTGAAATCTTGTTGCAAATCACGTCCGCTCATCCAGAAGAAGATAGTCCTAGGTCAAGGGTGACAGTAACCGGATTATGCCCTATCAAGAATCCAATATTTTATTCCGAGTCCTATACAAGCTACGCAAACAATATTTTCCCAAAATTCATTTCATCGTTCACAGTTTGTATTTTGTTGAATTCCAGTGAGCTTTATTCTATGCATCTGTACCAGTTGGCACAACATTCCCCTGTTTATTAATCTTGGTCGGTAAAACTGGTCTCTAAAGAGTAATAATAATATTATCATTTCATTATAGTAATATCCACTTTTCCGCTCCGAGCTCATTGCAGTCAGTGGTGTTCGACATGATTGTCCTGTCTCTTCTTTTCTATCTAATTTCGTCGTAGATTTTTTTTGAAATATATATCTATCCTCGTGCGAGGATACTGGCACCGATTTACCCTATAGTGGTAGACTGTCTGATCTGCAAACGATTTTGTACTGCTTAGTGAAGATCCAGGTAAGTTGTAAACTTTTCTTGGATAGCTTGAGTGCTAGCGTAGCCACCCACATTCGGTATGCATTGTGCACATGCAGAGTATAAAATTTTGCTATAAGACTGGGTTGAGATCCAGCACCCAGCCTCACTCTAACTGGGGAAGTTATAGAGTAAGTGGACTGTTATTTGGGCAGCTTTATTTCACCGGGCGGACGCATCACGCATGAAGTGTCGGCTCGCCTACAGAAGGCTCCATTGGTATTTGTTAACTTCAGATATCTGTGGCATCATCCGGCTGTCCGTGATGGGTCGAGCGTATGCTGCGACAGTTCGGCCAGTTCAGCTGTGTGGCACAGAAAATTGGCCATTAAGAAAACAGGATAAAGATAGATTATCGGTGTCTGGACACCGCTGTCTACGCAGCACTGAACGAATCTGGTGAGGCAACCGGATGCGCAATGCTGAGGTGAGGCGCAGAGTATTAGGTAACCGCGGTCGCCTACTGGATCCAAATAGATTATGCCGGGTTGGGGCATGTGTTGTGCATGTCACCAAATAGATTCCCAAGGCAAGCTCTGGGTGGATCAAGGTCAAGACCAGTCAAACTCAGGCTTGACTTGAGAGTCTGAAAAACCTAATCATAATGTAACGAGAAGGCGAGCTGGCTGGAAAAACGTTTATTGATCCAATTCAAAAACAAACGGTGTATGCGTTCGATTATATACAGTCAATTCTCAACCGCGCGGCGGGATGTTTCATGCCTCTTTCTGTGGGTCATTCCTTGTTGGTCTTGGTCCGCACTTGGCACGTACGTTGCCTCTTCTTCCGCGTGCCATTCCGACTGGTATGACCCGATCGCGGCGTGAGATGCGTTGATCGATAGTTCCGACCTTGTGGCATTCGGTGGGTATCTTTCCCGTTAGCTGCGGATTGTCTGTCTGTCGGGCTGTAATTGTCGATTCGCTCGTTTCGGGTGGCAGTCAACATTGTCTCGCGAGGCACTTCCCGCCGCTGCGTCTGCGCGTTTGGTCGGAGGAGCCCCATTCTTGCTTCGGTCGCTAACCAGGACTCTCTTTGTACTGCCTTCCATCACAATAAGACTCGGTCATACAGGTAGCGCTAATTTCCCCGGATAGGGGACCTGTGATTATAGACACTGAGTAGTATGACTGGGAATAGGAATCAGTTGCTCTCGTGCATCGTTTCACTTTCTTTGCAACACTGGTCCACTAAAATTCGCCATTTGCTCTTCGGCTTCACTTTTAACTGTCTAATCTTTCTTCTACGCGTTCATCCAAATAGGTAGCTAAAAGATAGCAACGAAAACCAACACACAAAAGTGCATGGTTAAAGGTTTGTACAAACTGATGCGGAAAACTCCGATTACCTATATATTGTTGAATTTACACAGTAGCTAAATGCTCATCTACCATGCATACTATGTTGTTCCATGTGAATTTATGTATGTTAGTGTCTATGTAGGTTTTTGTAACTCTGGATTGAATTCTTTTAAATTCGACAATTTGCTCCCAGATCCCCGGGTAACGTGACAGATCTCCAGAAGCACCCACACGGATGCTTCGTTCACGTTCCCGCGTTGGATTTATGCCCCACTGCCTTGTGGGTTAGACTCCTAAATCGAAGCTCCGGTTAGGGTTCCCAAAGAAAAACCCCTTCATCGGTGTGGGCTACCGCGAAGTATGCTATGCCCTAAAGTCTTAGACACCCATTTGGAAAATGATCTTCCCCTTCTGACTAGTTCTTCTTCTCGACCTCGATTAATCCCAGATGCCTCCTGTTTACGCCACTCATCGAATATCACTCAGCGTTTTACCATCAAGGTCAGAGATTCAGAAGCTATAGGATTTTTAAAGCCAAAATCCCCTTTTCACTTGGCCGCGTTCAATGTCCGCATGCTCTATCAGATTGGCCAACAACCTGCCCTGGCTAAAACTCTCGAAACTTTCAATGTAGATGTATGTTGTGTCTCCGAAACACACATACAAGGGCCTATTTCCATTATCTCTCTGTGTTCTCCTGATGCAACCTCAACCTCATGCTTCACCCTTCGTATGTCAGGCGATTCGGCTCGGGTAACCTATCCCCAAAGCGAAACGTGCACAGTTGTCGGGTACTGTTTACATCTCTAACTACCCCTATCGCCCGAGTCCGCCGAATGCTGGTGCATTGCTACAGTTTATTGTGTTTAAAAAAAATATATTTACTCCAACAGTTGTATACATTTGGTACCCAGTTGCGACGGAATTGGTTATTGACTGCCTAATTGATTGCTATCTTTACTGTGACCATTTGAACGAACAATACCGTTTTCTTCGTCCTTGCGGCTGTTCGTCAATGCGGTCGCAGTACTGCGTCAAATCAATTGTCGTATATTCAACCGTATTTAGGTTATTGCTAAAATTATTTGGCTCTCAGAAATTTCAAGCGAGCGCATAATATGTTCCAATCACTACGAGAATTTTTCAATGATGTCCATTAGAGTTGTGTACGAATAGCTTGTCACTGATTTTGGGGACTAATCTGCCCGGTAACCAAATTATGCTTACAAGCGAGAATTGGAGGGTACTGGTGGAGGGAATAGTTCTCGAAATGTTACATAATAATTTTCGTGATCACAAGGACTGGTCATCCGTAATCTGGCGTCAGTCTCTCTCTCTCTCTCTCATGAGTGAACAAATCCGGTCGATCTGGATTGGATAATGTTCGCCCTATTAATAGGTCTGAGAATCACTTGATCTCACATGTGTACGTCTCGTTTTCCACCAGCTTTTCCTGGTAGAGAAAATGATTCGAATTCGAATTCCTGCACCATTCTATTTCCGGGATTGTTGAGGCTGATTTGGTTGACTCAGATACAGATCCAGTCATGCGGCATCCGTGAACTCAATGTGGACCTGTTCATTTTATGTCCGACTTCACGTTGACCATTCATGCTTTTTAGTTGTTCTTCAGGAAGCCCGTCGAACAATCGCGGGTGTATACAATAAATTGACATCCTGAAAGTGTTTTTCACATTTTTCAGGTTGCATTTGTATTTGTATAGACTTTTGCGAGAATAGAATGTTCGCATTTCAGTCAAAAATTACACATCTGATCAATAGAAGAAAAATACAAGTAAAGTATTTAACCTTTGAGGTTACTAAGAAATTCTGGAGAAGCGCGCTCTCGGTTTACAAGGATTCTGGTAAGATAGGGAACTGGAGAATTTCTGTAGAGAATAATGCGAGAGGGTAATAGTCGATAAGAAGAACGTGTAGACACAAGAGAGCAGCATTTAGATAAATCGCCTTGTAAAGGATGGTTGGGGTCAGCGAGGATTTTCTGGGCAAATGTTTCACATGCAGACAAGTGAAGTTCACATAGTTTTTTAGGTAGCTCATCAACGGGTATAAAAGACACACGACTGATGATCGACAAACCTCGACGAATAATTTTTAAGTCTTTCTTTAGAAGACCAACAAAAACCACCGGGGAACAATAAAGAAGAACGGAAAAAACGCATTGATAAACAAAAAGTGAAGTGATTTTTTGCTTGGCATTGAATTGCCTAAGTCTTCGAAGTTGAAAAGATCATCTGCGAAGTTTCTGTACAGAATCGTAAATATGCGATGCCCACTTTTAGTTAGTGTCAATTGTAACTCTTAGATACTTCACAGAATCAACTCTAGCTAGGGGATCTGTGTTTAAGACAGACGGATTACCAGGGTAAACAGATCCAGAAAGGGAGAACGTGCTTTAGAAGCACTTGGATACATTAAGAGACAGTCCAGAACGAACGGAAAATTCATGAATATGCGATAGATTATTCGAGAAATGTAAAAGTTTCTCAGGGACAGAAATGGCTCGGCAGAGGGTTATGTCATTAGCATATTTCAATAATTGCACCTCTATCCTTCGCATAACCGCTGCGAATTGTAAGGCAGCAAGCAAACTGTGTGTCTCCATAAAACACCTTATAACAACGTCTCAGCTGGATTCAATGCGATTTCACCCCTTACCAAGCTGTCTGACTTCCATTTGAAGGCTGTCCGCTCGGGAACAGCTTCTCCGATCCACAGGCGAGACAAAGGGCCGACGGTGTTTGGAGGGTTTCCGCAAAACAGGACAATGCTCCGATTCTGACATTCAAAAGATTTTTTTTCATCGCACTACTAATGATTCCTAGCTAGGACAGAAACGTTGTCCAATTCACCGAAGATCTCTCGCCGATAATTGGTTGGATATATCCTTATGCACTGTATGTAACACAGTCACTATGTTATCTTTTGTAACCCTGTCTGTTCTCGTTACCATTTGTGTACTGCCTCTGCCGTACACGGTTTGGGTCCGGTTTAGCACACTTTCATCCCTCCCCCGTTGTCACAATTCAGAGGTCCAACAGGAAATTGAGCGTATTTTCGATTTGGCCCGAACTCAACAACTGGTCGTGCTCGACTGTGATACAATCAATCATCCAAGTCAGTTGGCTAAAACCTCCTTGGCACCGATCACGGTCTATTTGAAGATCAGTTCAACGAAAGTACTTCAGCGGCTGATCAAAACACGCGGGAAATCTCAGGCGCGAAATATGAATGTTCAAATGGTGGCTGCAGAAAAACTGCTCCAATGCACCAACGTGAGTTTCGTGGCATGTGATTTATCCTGTACCTATCCTATAGATAGAAAGATAGATACTGTGGACCCTATTATTTAGCCAGTCGAATGCTTTCGCAGTTTACCACACGTTTTTCACATTGTGACTTGGCGGTAGCGCAGCGCGTACTCAATCTGCGTAGCATCCAAGCACTCACTTTCATCGACGACGATCACCTGAGATCAAACACCACAAACGGTCGCACGCGCGGTGGTACTGTGACTCAACAGGGGCGAATGAATCATCGTGTTTTACTGAACCCCGTGCGTATGTTTACGGGGTCACGCGATCATAACCATTGGATGCGGGTGTTTGAAATACGTTCGAATGTCTGGTATCTGTGCGTAAAGCGTGATCGTCCAGTTACAAATTCTGCTACTTGTCATAATCGAATTCCCGTTTAGATATTCCCCGTCCTCTTGTTGCTTCGAAATCGATCGAACGAAAAAGAGTTACTTCTCTATAGT